TATCTTTTGGTACAGATCTGGTTTGATTAGGGTTCAAGTAGATCCTTGAATATTGTATTCTAAATTCAGGGAATATGATTCCCAGTTGGGAGAAGGTAGGAAATTTTTGAAATTCGCCCCACCCATTCCGCAACCTTTATGGCGTCCATTAGATGGATCCTACCATTCTTTCAATCTTATATAGTGATTTTCACCTCTTTCCCAAGCAATATGGGACAAAGTGCATTCACATGCTTCAAGAAGTTAAGAAAGAAGATAAAGACAAAAGAAAAAAGACAAAGCATAAAAGAAAGCCTTTTTTTTTCAATTCAGAGAGAGAGAGAGAGATCATGTCTTTTGAATCTTTCCTGCAAAAAATACTTGAAATACAACAATTGGGTAAGAGTGCTAATATGATAGCAGATGCTTTGGCCAGAAAAGGGACAAGGAGAGAAGTTTTAGAATGGGGATGCCCAGTGCCAAGCAGTTGGTCCTAAAGATATGAAATGTATGCATATTGATGGCCCACTACTGACTGCTGTCCTTTAAGCAGTTGGTCCTAAAGATATGATACTACAACCAAATTTATATCTATTTCCTAACTTCTAGATTGTGAGAAGTTTCCTGTCAACCAATCAGCACCTTAAAATGAATGAAGGCAGCAAATTAACTTTCTTCCCATTATTCCTCACATTTTAGAAGAAATATAGTTATAAAGTCTACGACATTGTCACTACCGATCTAAAGGACTATCTTCCCAAATATAATTCATAAGAAGGTTTATATTTACCTCCCCTTTAGAATCAGCAATTCTATGAGCATTCACATGAACTTGATGTGAATGCTGAGTAGGCTTAGCAGAAATAAAGATGAATTCCGTGTGAACAGTAGCAAGACCAGACGTTGTTACTAATAGCAGAAATATAAAATCTGAGTACAAGAACCTTCCACCTCTAGAGGTGAGAGGAAGAACCCAAAAAAAAATAAAATCTGACCAAAAGGACAGATGAAATAGATGCTAAATAAGCATGCCAATACCCCAATAATAGGTGGTCCCATGCCCACTTAGCAACTCATCAAATTATTTGCACATTATTCCAAAATTAATGAATTTTTAAGGAAACATTTAAAACAGTAACAATTAAATCATTTGTATGTAGTTAATGGCACCTAAAATCATACAAAGTTACATTTTAGACCGATGGCAAGTATCTATAACAAATGGACCATGTTCCCTAGAATACATTCCCCAAGTCCTACCCATAGAATATAATGCAACTCAAAATAACATGAATACTTAGGTAACTATTTGAATTAATCTCAACTGAAATTTAATTGATTTGTAACAAACACATTAAGTACCTGAATGAATGGTGCTGGCATCTGATGGTAATCATAACTCTTTGGCAATCTGCGTTCAGCTACTTGTTTAAGAATGCTAACAAAACTGGTAACCAAATCCTTATAAGAATCTACATCTGCTGAGATAAGATCAAAAAGAGGGCAAAGAGTAGCGCCCATAACTCCAGGATCATTATCACAGAGCCTCTGCAACAGAAAGGCATTAAAAGATGGGGAAGTATTAGCTTTTGAAAACATTCAAATGTTTTTTTCTAGAAGTTTCAACTCAACACTCTGAAACACTGATCAGACATTATTTGTCTTTTAAGTGAGTAAAAACATTTATAGATGCAAATATAAGATACAATGAGCAAGTTAAATTGAGTAATTGACCATAAATTATGGAAGACAGAATAGAAAAGCTCCACAAATTTGTATCAGTCACGCTAGTGTTTTATTCACATGGCAGTTTAACTACCATATACACTTTGTAATAATAATACCCATCTTCCAAAACAGTAAAGATCCTCTATAAAGTGCATGCGCCGTGACAAAATCACAAAAATATGTTCACCATGCCCAATCTAAGTGAATATGTTCAGTACAAGCAACAAAAGAAAGGTCCAGAAAACTGATAATAATAACAATTACAAAGATGACAACAACAATAACAAAAATGAGATTCAAATTGTGTACCTTTCTTGTCATTTGTTCAGTGAATGCAACTATGCTAGTAGAATTTAGTGCAACCTCTTTGAACCCCCTTCAAGACTTAATTATCCTCTTTGGAGGTTTTCTTTTTCGCTTCCATGGAAAAGAGGAAAGAATATGTGGAACTATGCTTTGGCCGCCACAATTTGGGTCATATGGGAGGAAAGGAATGACAAGATCTTGTCTAAAGAACCAACTCATCTAGAATCATGATTGACCAGATGACCATTAGACTTTTATCATCAATAAATGAAAAAGAAATTTTTATTAATATAAAATAAAAGAGTACATCTCAAAGTGATGAGAGTAGGGGAGAGAAATATTCAGTTAAAACCGAAAAACCAAACCAAAGTTTTCGGTTTCAATTTTTTGGTTTGGTTTTTCAGTTTTTGGGTAATTCAGTTTTCTGAAAATTTCAGTTTCAGTTTTCAGAATTAGAAATTCGGTTAACAAAAAAAAAAAGAATTAACCATTTTTTGTAATACACCTATTATCTAGTTGGAGGCACTGGGTTGCACCACACCTCTTTAGCTGGGAAAAACAATAATATAGTTGAAGCAAGAAGAGCAAGAATACAAACCATAGGGGAAGGCTGACCAAATCCTACTATCCTCGCATGAAGAGTCCAGATAAACAGTACTCAACAGAGAGTTCATCCATTAACCCCATCTCAGCTACCCTAAGCCCTCTCATCAAAACCAAGTCCCAAGAGTAACCATTACAATTGACAGACGCAATCACTTTCCTCTATTCAAAGAAAAGGGAGTATAAAGAAGGGAATCCATCCATGAGAGGACTATCCCCCAACCAAACATCTTCTAGAAAAGCACTTTATTTCCAGAACAAACATCATACCAGAGAAACGGGCAAAGAGAAGGGGTGACTCCATGTATGGCCTTCTAAGGGCACGAACAAGAAGCCCTAGGGTCAAGACCAGCATCCCATCCATTTGAAGCCCAACCATGAATACTTGCTATCACTTTATTGCCACACACACAGAGCGTTTTAAAAGCACAAGGTGCAAGAGCCAATTTGCACCTGAGGCGCAAGGCAAGTCGCATGCCTTTTTGAAGCAAGACGCAAAAATACAAAAAAAATGCTAAAAAATCAAAAAACAATGTCAGAAAATTCAAAAAAGTCAAAAAAATAATAAACATAATATTAATAAAAATATAAACTTAAATTTTAAAATAAATGTTTTAAAAAACCTATTATCTAAAATTAAAATACATAAACATAACATGTAAAGTGTATTCAATGAAAATTTAAAAATAAAATCAAACATACAAAACATTTCCAAGCATGTAAAACCCACAATCTCTTTTTTTTTCCTCAATCACATTACTTCAAGTAATTAATGTGATGTAAAACATATTACATTCCTGATTCTATGAGCCGCCTTTATGCCATGCCCCTTGAGGCAAGCCCAAACAAGGCCATGTTAGGGTCTTAAATTCTTAGTTCTCACACAAAAAATAATGATTTTATAATTTTAATTGCCTTTTAAGAAGATATTTTACTAGGATGAATGAATGAATAACATTAGCAAATAAGGGGTTCTCGGAGCTTTGGTCCCATCCACTAGGTTCAAAGAAAAGCAAAAAAAGCATAAAATTTTAAAAAGACACACACCTAGGCTAAGGCGCAAGGTGCACGCCTGCCTAAGCGCACCAGGCATGCACCTTATGAAAGTACTGCGCCTAGGACCTGGGCAAGGCGCCTAGCCTTTTAAATCACTGCACACACACATTTGAAGCCCTAGGGTCAAGACCAGCATCCCATCCATTTGAAGCCCAACAGAAGAAATAAATTTTCTAATTGCATTAAAACTAATAGGAAAAATTCGTTATTGGCATACCATATCAATATTGCTAGATAAGTTTACAAGTCTCTAGATTCTTATCTCTTGATAAAGAAAACATGGAACTTGTGCAATTATGCATGTACATGCAAGTGAGAAAGATATGGCCATGATTCTATAGTGGGTTCATGCATTTGGAGGAAGTATCGTTTATAGTGAAAGGTTAATGCTAAGGGAAAGGTGTATATGATGAGCTATAGAGTATAGAGTTAATAGTTGCCAAACCCTTTTCTATTGGACTTTTATGACATTGCTAAAAAGCTTGGAAAGTTCACACATTAGCCATCTTAGTTGGAATTAGTCAGATGCATTTTAGTATATATCATTTCATTTTTCAGTAAAACTGGAAGGAAAAAAAACAGTATGAAAAGTATTAGGCAAAATTTTATGATTGTTCATATGTGAGTTATATACATCCACCACTATACTTAGACAGACATCAGTAGATGATCCATGAACAACACAAATTAAGGACAAACACAGTGAACAAAACGAAATCTTGAAATGCATGTTGGTCATTTCTAACCAAAAATATACAATAATTTTCGAGTCCAACTACAGTGCATTTCAAAATTTTGAATGCACATTATATCAAAATTTCAACCAATCACATTAAAGACATCACATGATCTACTTAGTTTTCATTGGTTCACATTAAAGGCATCACATGGATTGTTTGTTTTTCATTAGTTCACATTTCACAAGGTGTACTTATCATTTAAAACTTTGAAAACATTAAAAATGTTATTATGAGGTGTTGCTTTATCATGATTCATTTATGTTTGATTTAGGGAAAATTCCTGATTAGTACCCTATACTTTGGGCTTAGTGCCACTTTGGTCCCCGAACTTTAAAATGCAACAATTCAATACCCAAACTTTCAAAACATGACAATCCAGTACCTGTTGTTAACTAGTTATTAACCAACCATTAAGTGGAATTTGAAAATGACACAAATGCCCGCCGAGTGTCATCTAATTTTCTTTATCAACCATCCAAACATTGACAAAAAATTAATAGTTTTAGATCCTTGCCTCTTCTATTCAAGAAAGTTGGGGTCACCAGAATGCCCACTCAAATGTGACCCCAACTTTCTTGAATGGAAAAGGCAATGATTTGGGACTGTTAATTTTTGTCAACGTTTAGATGGTTGATAAAGAAAATTAAAGAACACTTGAAGGGCACTTGTGTCTTTTTCAAATGCCACTTAACGACTGGTTAACAGCTAGTTAACGGCAGGTACTGGATTGTCACGTTTTAAAAGTTTGGGTACTGAATTGTCGCATTTTAAAGTTCGGGGACCAAAGTAGCACTAGGCCCAAAGTACAGGGTACTAATCGGGAATTTTCCCTTTGATTTATGATACAGCATTTTTTTTCTTTTTTGAGAAAAAGGATAATTTTCATTAAAAGAGAAGAATGATGTACACGAGAAGATGTACAAGAGGCCTACCAAACCAAAATCCAAAAAATGGAACCCTCCGAGAATTTATAGAGGTGTTGAGGAGTCACTATGCAAAAGATCAGCAATTTTCATAGAATGCACCATAGATTTTGCCTAAGTTCTCTTTAAATCACTTAAGAATAAAATCTAAAGTTGTCTCTATTGGTCCAGTCAATGCCCTAACATATCTCTGAAATGCCTTACCCCTATTAGAGAAGTCTCAAAATTTAACCAATAATTCCAAAGGAGTTAGGTAAATCCTTCAATCTATTTATTAGCCTTGAATTTCAGTTAAGTGATTGCTGCAAAGCATGGGAATCTTTTTATTAATATCATTGTAAGATAAATGCTCAAAAGAACCCTGTCCTTGAATTGCCATGAAGCAAAAGCAAAATGCATTCAATCACCTCAAAATAATAGTTTAATCTAAACAAAGGAACTATAATACTGCACCAGCACCAAAATTACCTTCCTAAAATTGGAAATGAGATGCGTAACAGATGAAGGAGAACGCTGATAAAATCTGTGAAGCGCCATGATAGCCTTCTTCCTCACCGCCTCCTTCTGGTGCCCGAGAAGCTCGACAACCTGCGGGAGAACCGCTGGAATAGTTTCCTCGTTGATCAACTTGCATACGGCCGTCAGTGCCGCGCAAACAACAAGATAATTATCCGACTTCAGATCCTTCTGAATTGTATTAACGATGAGAATAATAAGATCATGATCCTCATTGAGAAATAGCGTCACCGCCAAGTACCCGGTCCTCTTAAGCAGCAGAGAATCATCATGAGTCATCTTCACGGCATGGATGTATCCAAATGAAGCATCGTGACCCAACATTTCAACGTAAACAAGGCGAATGATATACTCCTTCATCTTCTTCTTCGGGATATCTGGCTCGTTGATTCGACGCTTCAACATCTCGATTTCGTTCAGGACGATCCGATCCTCTTCGGCCTTGGATCGGGCCTCACCGATCGACTTCACGAGATCCAGGAACTCCTTGGATTGACCCCATCCCCCCTGGGAGCCCATAGCGAGCTCCCTTCCGATTGTTCTCAACTGCTCCAGCCTGAATAATTAGGGTTCCTCACCAGCTGCAGCAGCGAACAACCGCATCGAAGAGTTCCAATTACCTTCGCCCTCTCCAATTGCAGAGCTTGATCCGATGCAAGCAATCAACAAGAGAAAATCCAGGCAACCAATCTAGAAAAAAATTGAGATGTGAAGGTTTTAAAATCCAGCACAGCTTCGAATTTGAGATTTTAGAGAGAGAGAGAGAGAGAATCGTGCAGATTTGTGCAGCGGCAAGTGTACTGTAAATGGGCGAATTATTGGAGCTCTATCGTTTCAATTGTTGTTTGATTCGAGGCATTTTACACGTGGGGTGCTCAGAAACTTCTTTCTTTGGTTTCGAAGTAAAGAAACAGAAGCGCTAGAGCCTTCTCAAGAGCTCGGAGAGCAAACGAGAGGAAGAAATATGAAAGATCAATGGCCGAAGTGACTGTCCTGTTCATTCATGATCCAAGCCAAGCAGGGGAAAGCGTGAATCGGGAGGTAAGAATTAGAAATGGGGAAGAGCTAAAGCTGCTGGAGCCTGGAGTAGGGCAGGTAACGGTTCGGATCTGGATCGGATCTTTTAGATCCGTATATGAAAGATTTAGCATTTGGGGCTAGGCCTTTCGGCTGGATCATTGCCATTGGTGTAAAGGGAGTGAATTTTATAGGAATCAGGTCATAGCGGAATTCGGATAAATCACATTTCAATTCCAATATCCGAATCTAAATCAGGTTTAACTAAATTAATTTGCTGAACCTAAATCAGATTTATTAAATTATTTTGCTCAATCTAAATCAGATTTAATTAAATTGTTTTGCTGTTAATGTACCAGTGCTTATCATACGTATTCAACATTTGAAGCTTTCTTAACATATTTATCAAGAAAAACTGCTGATATTAGAAAATAAGAAAATAATTCTAGCCAAGGTTCAAAATTTGATACCATCAGGCATATTGTATTGTATTGTCCGGGTTTAGCCCATTTTTATGGGTAGGCTTGTCTAAAGACTGACCCTGACCAATTTAAAAGAAAAAAACAAAATAGGATAGGATTTATAGCCCATTTGATATCTATGTTCATTTAAAGCCTGTATATTGATACTTTGAACCATGGTTCTAGCCTTTTCAATGCATAAAAAAATATGTATTAATATTTTAAACCTTTACTATATAAAAATGCTATAATCGAAAAATAAGAAAACTAAATGATATAAGTTTAATATCTAAACTTGAACAAAAATCGGATCAATCTAAGCCCACAAATGAAAATAATAGAAAGGATAGGATTTCGGGTCAACCCGCCCTACACTGAAATTGGAGCTTTGGGGCTCGCCTTTGTTTAGATTTTGCGCTATTAATTACGTATTAAATGATTAGACGTCAATAAATTAAGATTGATTAGATGGATGCCACTTGGAATGAGGTTATTTCCTTGTGGTTCATGGAATTGAAGTGGACAAGATAGAAATGAGGACATGTTAGATGGATTTGGATTTCTTATGGTTTTTGTCTTTTGTTCTGCTGTAGCAGCTGGAAATGACTCCACTTCTMAAATGAATAAATAGAATCTTCAGTGACAAATGTTGTTTTGTGTTAGATGAAATGGTGATAAATTATATTGTCTGATTCTTTTAAGCCAATAGGAAAATTCTCAGAATATATATCAAGAAACCACGATCACAGCGCAAATTTTCGACAAAGAGATGGGGAAAGAGAAAAAAAAAAACCGTCATTCAGATAAAATCAAGGGAACGGCCAAGACAATTGAGCATTAACAGAAAAACTGGAGTTAGTCTGAACTAAAATCAACTTGATCAGATTGAACAATTCAATAAGACTTTTTGAATTAAATTAGTGTAGATTTAATGGTCTAAAGTATTTATTGGATCGAATTAAACTTAATCATATAGACTGGATCAGATTGAATTAATATCAAATTGATTGACAGAAGATAAGAATATGGGTCAATTCAACCAGGATTGAATTGGAGCTGATTTAAATTAAAACCAATTTTAATAGATTAGAGACGGTCCAAACATTGAATTGGATTAGACGTGATTCATCTGAATTGAGCTCATATTGGACCAATGTCTTGTCTGATCCATTGATAACCTTACTTGTGAGCCCTCTTCAAACTGGCATGATTTGATTTACTTTGAGTGTTAGAGTGTACCCACCAAAAATACTTGCATAGAAAACCAAACATTCTTTTTTATATTTTCTATTCATACTCGATTGAGATTTTGGCATCAGCAAAAGAGTTATTTATCAAATCCATTGTTTTGAAAACTAAATCAAACCGGACAGTTACGAAAGAACCATTGAATTTATCAAAGAATCACTGACTCAGGCAGTCAAACCGTTAAATAAATTGACGTATGTAACCATCCATGGATCTTGTTTTTTTTATTTTTTTACAATTAAATAAAAATAAAAAAAAATACATTTGAGTTCCAAGTCGAATTTGGGCATATGGTTAGAGTTTTAGAAGCTAACGAAAGAGGGGAAAAGACAAACTCTTCTCTCTTTCGTTCTCACTTCTCACTTTTCAATTTTCAATGGCAACCTACCACGTCCAGGACTGGCGGTGAGTCCTCTTTCTCTTTCTTTAATATGATATGAATTAGCAATGAATATGTTAGAAAAAAACTGTTCATTATATTCTTCCTCTCAATGATTATGAACCAGCAATGGTGAGTGTCTTTCTCTCTCATCCTTCTTTTTTTTCTTTTTATTATTTTATCCCTCTCTCATTTTTCTCTATTACCCGAAATCACAACTTTTTGACAGCACAAAAATGTACTTTCTGAAAATGAATACCATTTGCAATGAAATGAGAATGACATCAGTTCCTTTCTCAACTGGACAATGGACATGTACAGCTGCCGTCTCCTCCCCTTCGTTTCTCAAACCTCTTTCTGATTGTATCCCCCCAATAGAAAGTATTATATGATCTTTATTCTAATCTGACCTAATATGCTAAATAAACATTTGCTTTAACCGTTTTGAGTCGTTTGACTTGAATGGTCAAACCGTTAATGGGTGGTCAAAGCGGTTCTGTTTTTCAAATCAGTTTTTAAAACCTTATTATACCAAATGCTACTTTAGATAATCTAAGAAATTTTTTTTATGGTGTAAGGCATGGTTTTCGAATTGCCATTGATCCGGACGATCAAATCATTCGGCCTGGGAACCGTTTAAGTAACTAGTTCCGTTTAAACCCTAAACCCAGTCCCTGGCAAAAAACTGTTGAACCGGTCAATCCAGACAGTCGAACTATTGACCTGTCAAATCCGTTCAATGGTTTTTGACTGTTTTTATTTTTAATTATTTTTATTTTTATTATCAGAACAGGCCATCCGTTCGAACGACTCCATTTCTGAATCATTTTTTAAAACCATGGTGTAAGGATACACTACCCTTCACGTACATGTAATAAGATACATGTCACAAACTAAGTGGAATTGCAGAAAATCTTAGACTCACTCGCAAGAGTAACATGCACAGAATATAGGATGGAGCATAACTTGGTTCCAACTAGGTTGTAGGTATTTCTGCTTTTTTATTCATGGTGGATCTTAAAGCCACCTAATTAAACATTCAAAAATTTGCATAAAAACTACGAGACATGTCATGACCTTTTCATCCACCATGAAGAAAAAGAAGTACCTAAAATTTACTTAAAAACTAGGGAAATTTTCCGATTGTATTTTGGTTTGAATGACAATTTGATCCCTGAACTTTAAAATGCAATAATACAGTATTCGGATTTTCAAAATGTGACAATCCGATACCCAAACTTTCAAAATTTGACAATCCAATACCTATCGTTAACTAGTTGGTTAATCAGTCATCAAGTGACATTTGAAGAATCAAAAATGTCCTTCAAATGTCATATAATTATCTTTATCAACCATCCAAACATTGACAAAAAACTGAACAGTCCCAAATCTTAGCCTCTTCTATTCAAAAAAATTAATTATTGTTTAAAAGAATCTAGAATTTGGGACTGATTATTTTATTGTCAATGTTTGGATGATTGATAAAGAGAATTAAATGACATTCTTAGAACATTTTTAACTTTTCAAATATCATTTTWAAAAGTTAGGGGCTGTCTAACCAGTATGCACACGGAATGAGAGATTGGAGTGGTTATGGGGCATATACACTTGATGGCTGTCATGAGGCGTTATTATTAGTCAAATAATCCCTAGCACTGTCATCAAGTGCAGCTCATCAGGATTCAAGTGTCATGCCATGTGGCCATGTGGCCATGTGGCTGTGGGGCTATGATCACATTACTGACCAGTTCAGTCCAGCCTAAAACTTTCTATGTTGGGCCAAGGGTTTTCATTGAAGCCTAGGCCAGAAGGGACTGTAGCAGGTGGAATTGGCATTGGCTTGAGAAATAGGACCAATCCAATAAACACCCGTATGAATTACGGTAATTTAGACAACCCGGATCTGCATATCGCCTCATTGTGTGCAATAGGTTAGTAATCAGTCACTAGTGAGCATGTTAGTGTCGTCAATGATGGAACTGCTGGGCTATCATTTGTTTTTCTAAAATATACCTATTTTGCCCTTATGGCTATCGAATTAAATATAAATTTATTAGAATACCCTCTAAAACCTTGTACTTTTTCTTTTTTAAGAATTGAGAACTAAAAGCATTCTCTCTCTCTATTTTATGGAATAGAGCATCAATTTCCTGAAGAAACCTGTGGGGATATGACAACAATTTTGCAAATGGTATAAATGAATTAAACAAAAATCAGTTTATTTACTCTGGGAAAATTTTCTAACCTACAAACTTTTATCTAGCATCAACCATTAGTAAATTAATTTTGTCTTACATTGTGTTTTTTATGCATGCATCGATCAGATAGAGAATTAATTCCAAGATATAGGGTGATGCCAAATGTGATTATGTTTCTAAGAAACAAGAATCAAATGACTATGCCAAATACATCTAGCAATTCTCCATATGAAAATTGTTAGAATTCATTCTTTTCTGAAAGAATTATGAGAATAAGAATTTCCAGAATTGATGTCAAACAGGGCCTTAATCCTCCTTACCTCATTCTCTTCCACCTTACCTTGTCTATTGTAGACCTATGGCCTTTTTCCTAAACAAAATCAGTTCCAGAAAGTTTCAAACATGGTATTTCGATCTTTCGCCCCGAATTCCTTTCTCCATCTTCAAGCATACTACGTACGAGGAAAACCAAAGGTTTTATGCTAGGCTGCAAGTTCATAATCAAAGCCAAAGAAGTTAGTTGGGTACCTACGGCTAGACCCTCTCAACTGTAGAAACAAGGCCATATAAAAAATGTTCACCTAGGGACATTGCCTGAAGTGTGGGGCCAAGGGATTTTACTCTTCTATCAAGCCAGCTTCCAGCAATGCTCGTTTCGCTTCGATTGGGAGGCGTTGGATGAGAAATTGGTAATTAACATGGGTCAAAATGAAGATGACTCTCATTGTTTCTTAGCACCGGTTATATAATTCA